AGTGGTAAAGCATTAAATCCACAGGAACGCGAAAGTGAAGAATTTTAAGTTGTTAACAGAACGGTGAACTTAGCAATTGTAGACTGGAAGATGACGAAATTACTTGATCACTTCCAAAGTGTGGCACACAGTTGTGTAAAGGCATGAACACGGTGGCTGGAAGGCGGAGCGAGTTTAATGACGCCGTTGGAAGACCACGCCCCCCAGTGCGCTACGCGATGTGGTTAGGACCAGCTCCGCCCTTCTACCATTCACGCTCAATGACGTCATCAAGATCGCTCCACTGCAGTCATTGTGTTTACTGCCCTTAATATTTCGAAAATTTGTGCTGAAAATAAAATATGTAGGATTAATGTGCTGTGTTGAGCGAAATGCTTGGACTTCTTACGGAACACTAAAACGCAGCTAACATAGAATAATATTGTACTCCACTGGTCTGTAGAGCAGTACCTGCGTAATAGTTGAGCTCAGTTATTGGATTTCAGACTCGGCGATTCTGCAATCGCGACAGCGACCGTGATTGCGCTGTTGCGATTGCGAACTGCAACTGCGACTGGAAGTGGCTCCGCCCACGGGCGGTCGCCGACTGGACATAAAGGCTCCATGGGAAAGCCCATGGGCGCCAGGGACTGGATTCGTCACTGTGACGCACAGGGCTGTAGTTCTACTCTAATACATTATGTATGTGCTGAGCTTTATTTCTCTAATCTTGCAGCGCAATAAGGTTCAAATCCAAAGGGATCACATATCGAGATAAATTTCAACATAATTGTGCTGTAGAGTTAACACATGAAGGCCTAATTTCATCAAGTTTGGAACGAAAGAAATTTTAAATTTTTGTAGCGGCTAGCGCAGGTTGGTAAGGTGCCAGCAACCCTCTACGTAGCTCTGCTACTTTTACTGTGACATTCTAATGATGATTTTTTTCTGTCAAAAAAAAGTAAAGTGTTTGCCGTTGATCAATCCCTTTTTTGGGATGCTGCCCGCATTCTACCTTCCATTTGTACATTCGTAGTGGCGTTTGAATGCGATGTGGCCTATACAATGACTTGCGGGGGCCAGCCGATGTTCAAGTCAGTGTTTTTATCCTCCCAGACAAGTCTGGTACCAATTAACCGACCCCGGAGGGATGGAAGGCTTGGTTGGCCCGGGCGACTCACGACCCAGGATTTGATCCCGCGTCGCGTGGTAAGCGCGCCACTTGTCACTACACCACTTCCGCCCTCTTTTTTCTTTTATTAACCTATTTTTAGAAGATCTAGTAACGACGACAGTACTGTGCAGAACAAGTGCTTTGAAAAGCTGCTCTCATTTGAGGGTAATAAAATCCCATCCATGCTCTGGAATTTTTGGAGCACAATCACGAGCAAGCTTACCATGGTTTCTTTGCACTACCTCCTGCTTCGATGCTATCAAAAAAAAGCTGGTTGCTCTATTCAAAGAGCTCTGAACAATTACTTACGCCAATCGACAAGTCATGTTCTCTGGTTCTATTACAGCAGATTCAACAGCGACCGTAAATTGCACCATACCTTGATTGACCGCGCAAAAACATCACCGGTGGCAGTTGAAGCGGAAAGGGTCGTAAAGGCAGCTTGTGAATGATGGAGGTGTAGAGTGGTCGAACGACAAAACAGGTTTGCGTGGGTAGAGGTGCGAGAAGACTATTAAAACATCATAATAATACTAGACAGGAGAGTAAAACCACTTGGAACTGGATCGATCGATGTTGGTGTCGTACAGTAGGGTACGTGAACAATAAGTCAAAAATTTACAACAGCTCAGTTCACTGGTCATCACGAATACAGGACATCACTAAAGTAATCAAGTAAGGATAAGGATAAAGGATAAAGCATTTGCCGTTGATCAATCCCTTTTTGGGATGCGGCACGCATTCTACTTCCATTTGTACATTCGTAGTGGCGTTTGAATGCGATGTGGCCTATACAATGACTTGCGGGGGCCAGCCGATGTCCAAGACAAGTCTGGTACCAATTAACCGACCCCGGAGGGATGGAAGGCTTGGTTGGCCCGGGCGACTCACGACCCAGGATTTGATCCCCGGACCGCTCGCGTGGTAAGCGTGCCACTTGCCAGCACACCACACAAAGTAATTATGTGGAGAGAGTCTTTACTGACAAAATCGGTTAAGCTGAGTAAGACATCACATGCTTCTAATTGTGTACTTTCTCGTCGGCTTCGCATGAAAATAAGAAAGGATTAAGCATTTGACCTTAAGCTATGTCCGTCAGAGATGCGCCATGCATCCAAATCAAAATGGCAGGAGCATTCAAGTGCCATTTGGCCTGCATACTAAAATTCAGGGAACTGGAAATGTACATTCAGTGGTTTCATACTCCTAGTCAGTTCCCACCCGGAGGGACGGCACCCTCCTATGGCCCACGTGTGGCTCCATAAAACGCTCACGCTGCGCGGACGCGTTCGCAAGTGTTGGTGACTGACATTTTTGACGTCAGGGCGCAGCGAGAGAAGCGAGGGTCAATGAGCCAGCGCTGAGGCAATTATTTAGCGCATTGTACTGCTACATTTTATATCACCTCAGCTTCACTGCGTACTAATTGGTTGTGTGTAAACGGTTACGAATATAAAGGCGCGTCTAAGGAATGAACTTCAGCTTAATAGAGCTCTTTTAAGGTTTACGTATGAGGGTGATTGCTCTCTTTACGGAGTGCTACAATTGGAACACTCCACAAAAAATAACACTTTGATCATTTCACTTTGATTGCGCTATTGATTGTACAAGTAAATAAAATGCTAGCAACCTCGTTACTGCTCTGAGTGAGGTAGTTCATTCTTTTCATCGCATCTGTCGTAGCTGTGACGTCACCAGCATGTGCTCGTGAGTCCGCGCCGCCGTACGCTTTTCTCTCTCCCCAGACACAGGCGAGATCCGATCCTGCACGCGGGAAGTGCCGCTACTTGTCACCACTAACTTGTGCCCAACACGACTACACTAAAATCTTGGTCTTGTCATTGTAAGCAGATGTAACAGAGCACAACACAATGTAGATGATGCTTATTTGCAGTTTTCTGGAGCAGTCCTGATCGACATCTGCGAGGCCAAATAACAAAAAATAGTCCTACGCCGAAAACGCGCTTTCAGCGCTGTGAACATTCAAATAAATCAGAATTGATCTTGCTGTCAGTAAGTGAATCGCTCGCAGTCCAGCTGTACAAAGCAAACTGGTCGCTTTGATCCTCTGGGCGCTGTGTGTCATAACGTCCCGGCGATCCCGTCGCAGACTTTGTGGGCCGACGTTCGCGAAACAATTCCGTCGAGATCGCGAGATTTCATGAGATTGCTGAGAGTCCGCCGCGAGATCGCGAGATCTCGTGAGACTCCGCGAGTCTCGTCAGATACGCCCGAGATTTTGCTCGGCGATTCCGCAAAATCCAAGATGTCGCCATTTGCACTTGCAAACACTCGTATTGAAACCGCTTAGCCCCTCATGCACAGTCTGTCCTTCAGCCCCCCCATCACCCGTTCAGGCCAAAATGGAGGCGGGGATTGGATGAGACCCTACAGTATTGACTGGCCACGTGTGATCTTGCTGTGACCAGTCGCGCGAAACCTGTGACGGATCGCAGACTCTGACACCAGCCTGATTCTGCCACCAAATTTCACAGGTGTTTGAGGATGGGGCGCCAAATTGAGAGCCGATTTGTGCATAGAGATAGCATACGTTCATACGGTTTGCTTTAACAATGATTGCTACACGCTAGGGCAGATAACCCCAGGCTAGCTATTTCGCACAAGTACAGTATGCTTCATGTGTGGCTGTCAAAATTTGCAAGTGGATTTTAGTGGTTTGTGCTTATTATAACACGTGAAATCAGCATTCGATGAGTAACAGATGACGGACATTAAAATAGTGTTACAGAAGCGAACGGGAAAAAATTCAGTATAACCCCCCCCCCCCCTCTTCAAAATTCTGATGGTACTGATGATGAGAATTGCGTATTCTTTCAGTTGTCACTAATTACAACTCTCATTTACTAACTGTCAGCTATCACTATGAATCACTAGTTACCAGATTTGCTTGGACGTCGTCAACTTGTGGTGTGTGTTCTGCACTCGACGCACTTCTGCTTTTCTGAAGGCCATGAAGTCCTCTTGCAGAGCTTTTATTACATACCGTATGCCCATTTAGCGAGTCCGTTCAAATTTTCTGGAACGTTTTGTTTTGGCAAATGATTTTTCCTTTTCAACTAGATTTTATGATTATTCCGAAGATTTTCACGCAATGAAAGTCCCCAACTGTCCGTCTAAATGTAATGTACGAGATTAGGGCACTGGAACACATCAGGACTCGAGCAACTTCTTTCTTGTGCATTTATGTGTTGCACCAAATAGCACCAGCCCAAAAGTAATTGCAATTCCTGCCACGAATGTCTGCTGATTTTACGCGAAGATGTAATTTTTTTCGAGATTTTGGTTACTGAAGGGCCGGAGCGGGCTGAAGTGACACTGAGCCGCTTCCACCCCGCCTGACCCAGGAACTCCTGGCTCGTGTAATGCCTAAGATCCCAAAGACCTGCTTGTATATCTTCCCTATGCCGCCTGGATCCACACCACATCCACGCTTTTCGGCTCGTGCAGCGGCTGGGCCTACCAACACCTACTTGTGCATCTTCCTACCCGCATGGTCCGGGATCAAATCACGACTCGTACAAGGGCTAGGCTCACCAACACCGACTTGTAGATAATGCGTTTATTTCCATAATGTGAACAAGACACGAACAACATATGAAGATCATCCAAGTTTGCAAATACACACTAACATACAATCGACTTTTACCATTGTTGTTAGATAAAGCATGTTCAATTGTAAAGAAAGACCCATAATAGCAGACTGCCAACATCGCTGTCCATCACTACTCAATACTCAATATCGTCTTCTTCTTCGACCTGACTCTTACTGTTACGTACTTGGTATTGATTCATATACATTGATACAATCTGGTCGGCAGTCGTGGCATCATCTGCTTTTTTTGTCATCTCTATAAAATGATATTGAAGTCCTAGAACCGCCATATATAGGTGTCAGACTCCGCGACTGCAGCCGCGAGTGGGGTGGAGCAACCAATGTGAACCATACAGCCGACTATTCGTCGGCATTGGGCCATGGATCGCAGCCCCAGCGCCGCATTAGCGAATGCATTGCGGGCCTGCAACTATTACTGTTTGAATTATTACCGCCCTTTGGATTTCCCGGAATTTTAGTAATCAAAAGCTTTTAGCTTATTCCAATGAAAAAAAATCGAACCTTATTCTAACAAAACGAGGAAATCTGAGCGATATCCCTTTGTCAGGATCCACTGTACCAATTGCCGCAGAATACAGAGGTGATATAGACAGATCAGCGCATTTCACCTGAACACAGATATCAAAATAACAGTAATAAGAATCGATAGAAAAATAACTAACTTCAAAAACGACATTAGCATCGAACCAGATATCAGGTTTTGAAGCATCATCGAAAACGTAGTAGGGTCGGGCCTGAAAATGGGATGGAAGTGCTACCAAAGCCTTGGATTTTGTGAAAACTTCAACAGGTGAATGCTTGAGTATTTATTTACTTTCTCGATGACGTATTCTTTCAGCAGCTCATGTTGCGACTTAAGATCCTCATCACTGAATCCAGTACCAATCTGAAAAAAAAGACAAGAAAGTACAGTATATGATCTGGCCTTCGTCGCTAATGTTACCGATTCGGCAGAATAGCAGTAGGATATGGGAACTCAACAGAAGGCAGTAAACTCTCAATAACGCAGAACCCCCAAAGTATGATTCTTGATGATTTTTCATTACGTCAAGCCTATGCTGGTGAGTCCTCATCAAGGTAAGAAATTAACCCCTTCGAACTTGTTCCTAACAAAACAATTTTCCTTCATTCAGCACATTTTTAACGCAATATCGTAAGAATACGCTCATCCCTGAGGGAGCACAATCGAAATAACATGATAAAGATTCTCCCCCAACTCCTGCCGGATAGGCATAGCACAGAGTAATTCTTTAAGCACGCATACAGATTGAATAACCGGATTCGTTAACCCAATAAGAATTCGCACATCAAACTTGCAAAAAGGTGCCCCAAAAATAGACTCAAGAAACTAACTATGGCGCCATTTTTCACTGCTGCTGTGCTGACACCGTAACGTAATGTAACAGTGATAGCAGTATCAGAATCTTACTGCGCACGGAAACGCTGAGGTATATTGTATTATTTATATTTTATAAGGAAACTAGCACGCTTGTGACAATGTTCACAACCATACTTGGATACTCATAACACTCTGACCACTCTTCCTTTGAGAAAATTCAAACAGTAAGCACAAACTTACGATCTGAATATATGTAAGTTCCAAATTACCTTGCAAATACTCTGATATTCCTCCGACTCAGGGCAGTAGCACGCGAGCAGATAGCCACCGTATACACCAGTGCGCTTTCCTGAAACCATTGTAGTAAACAAAAACAAAAACAAATAATGATGCTACGTAAACTACTACTTAAGTAAATGCCACTGTTAGCTACTACAGTGGCATTCGTTGAAGTAGTAGTTTACTACAGAGCATACAGGACACTCAATGTCTGTTTTTTATCCATTCGGTTGAAAAGAAGTTTGGCGCAGTGCCCACACTTGGAAGATTAAACAAGGATTCCATGACAAGGTCGAAGGCCGAAGTAGGGTAAACATACAGTGGAAACGCAGGCAGATCCCCTAAGGATGCGGGATAAGGCGCGTTCCACAGCGAAGAATACCTACGCGGCTTGATAGAGCTATACCCGCACGAGGCTCGTATAAATTAGACAGCAGTTCATATACCTCGAAATAAATGGATTCAGTGTTTCTTTGATACGGCACAGGCGGTCCATATTGTAAGGTAAGAAATCCATCCATAAAACTCCATAAAACCAGATAAGCACTGATATTTGTCACACCAACTTCACCAAAGATTTCTCCTGCCTGTTTAGGCACCGAACGAAACATCGTCTCTTTCGTGCAGGATTTTATTTCCGATAAGTGTATGTGATTTCGAAAAGCGCTTCCCAGTGCTAATATCATTTGGAATCACTTCACACTTTTCGCTAGTTTGTCAGATGATTTCGCTGTCAGACACAGAAGACAACATCGGCTCGATGAACACCTTGCGCTAGCGTGGTAAAGAGATTGAAAGTTATCAAAAGACGTCTCTCGAGCCGATCCGGTGACGTACGGTCACGTAGGATATCATGAGTTTAGACAATCAAGATCTCACGTCGGCTTGCGAAGCTATCAGAGAGGCGATAAAGGAAGATCTCAAGGAGCGAAGAGCAGCAGTATTAGCTGAAGCAGCAGAGGCTGGGAGGAGCATCCGCAATGCCCGCCGAAGCTTTGCCAGCTACAAGACCAAGATGACCTGCCTCCGACGTCCGGATGGAACAGTCACTGCATCCCGAAGGAGCAATGGAGAAAGTCATCCACGACTTCTCCGATCTCCTGGACAAATATGACTGTCCGCCGAATGATGATGGAGGTGAATTTTTAAGTATACATAGATTCACTCATAGGTTGGAGGTTGTATTTGTCAATATCAACCACAATTAAAGGAATGTCATGAGGCCAAAAGACAGGGTAAAGCAGTGAGATCCCATTTAGGAGCAAACAAAGCTAAAGAAAAGGAGAATAAAGCGCAGGCAAGTAATGAGGACAAAGGGTGTTGAAAAAAAAACTGAAACCAAGGAGAAAGCTCAGACAGGTCAATATGCGAAGAGGAAAACTGAGTTTTGAGAACAGGAACAGTAAACGAAAGAAATGAAAGATGAAA